AAGACTTCGACATGTTATGTGAAAAGTAAGGGATTGTGCATGAGGTGGTGCCACCCTATATTCCACAACATAATGGAATTGCAGAAAGGAAGAATCGAACCATCATGAATATGGTGAGAAGTATGTTGAAAGTCAAGAATTTACCTAAAGAGTTTTGGGGTGAAGTTGTTTCGACTGCAACATACATTTTGAACAGATGTCCTACGAAGAAGTTAGAATGAATTACTCCAGAAGAATGTTGGTATGGTGTGAATCCTAGCTTGAGTCATCTGAAGGTATTTAGATTTATTGCACATAGACATGTGCCAAATCAGTTGAGAAGAAAACTTGATGACAAGTCGAGTCAAATGATTCTAGTTGGATATCATTTGACAGGAGGTTACAAGTTGTTTGACCCAGTGAACAAGACGATTGTGATTAGCGGGGACGCGATCATAGATGAGTTTAAAGAATGGGATTAGACTGAAAATGTCAAGAAAGATTCAGTGGGAATCCTACTTGAAGAAACTCGAGTAGAAAGAGAAGTTCGACAAGAGGAACCAACAGTTATAGATCAACCAAGTACAAGCAGGCCTCAAACAACAAGACATATGCCTGCAAGATTGTAAGATTGTGTGATTACATCAGATGATGTGATAGATAATGAAGGTGAGTTGGTACATTATACTTTCTATGCAGATGTCGAACTTGTCAATGCAGCTGAAGCATTGAAAGATTCAAAGTGGGTGAAAGCAATGAACGAATAAGTGAAGTCTATCAAAGACAACAACACTTGGTCACTTGTCGAATTGCCTCAAGGCAAGAAGGAAATTGATGTCAAGTGGGTATATAAAGTGAAAACGAATTCAAAAGGGGAAGTAACTCGACACGAAGCAAGGCTTGTGGCGAAAGGATTTCTACAGAAAGAAGGAATAGACTTTGATGAAGTTTTTACACCTGTTGCTAGGATCGAAACAATCAGGTTGGTTGTTGGTCTAGCAGAAATAAACAGATGGCACATATGTCAGATGGACGTAAAGTGTGAATTCTTGAATGGACCCTTAGATGAAGAAGTTTATGTTAAACAACCAGTTGGGTTTGTGAAATATGACGAAGAGAGAAAGGTGTACAGGCTGCATAAAGCCCTGTATGGATTGAAACAAGCTCCAAGAGCTTGGAATAAAAAAATTGATAGTTTCCTAAGGGAGGAGGAATTTGTGAAGTGCACAATTGAACATGGAGTATATGTAAGAAGATGCAACAGTGAATTGCTTATACTATGTCTCTATGTAGATGATTTGTTGATAATAGGTAGCTACAAAAGTGAGATCGAAGACTTCAAAGGTGATCTTAGTAAGGAATTCGAAATATCTGATTTGAGTGAGATTTCATATTTCCTTGGCATCGAATTATATAAGAGAAGTAGAGGTTTGATGATGCATCAAAGAAGATATGCAGGAGAAATTCTCAAGAGGTTTGAGATGGAAGAATGCAACTCAACTTCGACACCTGTAGAAGTAAGACTGCAAACTGTCGAAAGATGCATATGAAGATGATATCGACCCAATCCAATACAAAAGACTTATTGAATCATTGAGATATCTTTGTCATACAAGGTCTGACTTAGCATATAGTGTAGGTATGGTAAGTAGATTCATGCAGAAGCCAAATGTATCACATCTAGCAACGGTGAAGAGGATACTAAGGTATCTCAAAGGAACTCTTGACTATGACATTTTTGTTTCCTGCAGCTGATAAAGGAAAAGAATGCAAGTTAGTGGGATACACTGATTCGAGTTGGTGTAGTGATGCTGAAGATTGAAAATCAACAACAGAACATGTGTTTATGTTAGGTGGTGCACCAGTTGCTTGGAGTTCAAGAAAGGAACTAGTAGTGGCATTATCATCATGCGAAGCAGAATACATAGATGTTTCTCTTTGTGTATGTCAAGCAACTTGGATGGTGAACTTGGTCGAAGAGATAACAGGGAAAGATCATGGAGCAATTACCATGAAGATCGACAGCATGTCAGCTATCAATCTGGCGAAGATCCCGATAGCACATGGTCGAAGCAAGTACATCGAAATGAGGTTCCATTATCTTCGAGAGCAGGTAGCAGATGGGAAGATGAATTTGGAACACTGCAGAACTGAGAATCAGATTGCAGACATCATGATGAAGGGAGTGCAGGTCGAAGTATTCAGAAGACTAAGAGCCATGATGAATATAGATAGTTTAAACACAATGAATTAGGCGGTGTGTTAAATTGTAATTCATAGTGTCAAAACTATGGTGTGTCGAAGAGCACACAGATTAGATTTGTTTTAGATTTAAATAGATTTGATTTAGATCTAAAATAGATAGATTTGATTTAGTACCAAAATAGTTATTTTGGGCTTTGAGTTAACCAAAATCTATAAATAGGAAGTAACTAAGTTTGTAATCAAGTCAATTCATTGAAATCACAGAATTTGCAGTTGTAAATGATTAATAAAGTTTTTCACTGTGGACAGAAAGAAACTCTGCAGAAAATAATTATCTTCTTTCTTTTCTTTCTCATAATTCATTGTCATTGTGTAGAAATTCATCATAAATATTTAGTGGGTTTTCAACAAACATTACCTTCATGCCCCATGCTCATACCAAATTCAACAAACAAAAATCCCATCAAACACCGCGAATATAAAAAAATTCTAATATTTTAAGAAACAAATTTGAAAAATCTATTTTTAAAAATATAATTTTTTTTTAAGTTGAAACAAACAACTCCTTAATTTGTTTGTTATTTTATTTGAGATTTTTTTCCACTCTATGTTTTTTTTTACGTATCACGTAAAATTCCAAAAATATTTATAAAAATTAAAAATATATTTTCGATACACATCTAAATACACATAATTTATTTATTTTTAAAATTCACTTTATTTTACGATAAAATTTATTTTAAAAATACTTTTCCGATAATTCCAAGAAATAGACTTCCTATTATTGTGTTTCCTTTCTAAGTCTCAATGTCATGAGAAGTTTACTGCACAAGTAAATGCAAGAACGTTCTTTTAAGTTTGACTTGAGGTTAAATAAAAAAAAGTTATCACAAGTAAATGCAAGAACGTTCTTTTAAGTTTGACTTGAGGTTAAATAAAAAGTTTTTATCTTAAAACTAATGTCATTTTCACGTAAGGTTCTATATTTGACGTTATATCCACAACTAAAAACATTGTCTTTAGTTAGTGTTTCACTCATCTTTTTTCTCCTATTCTTCAAGTTCGAAAGTCTCCATTTTGTTTAGTATTTTGTTTTCATGACTTTAGTTGGTGGAAACATAATTAAGAAGGACAAGTTGGACACACATATTATTTGGTTACACTATAGGTTGCATTTGAAAACATATGGATAATGTGAAATCACTTAATCGGAGGTGTATTAAAAAATTATCGAAAGTATATTTTTTAAATAAATTTTATCGTAAAATATAATAATTTTTAAAATAAATAAATTATGTGTGTATTTTTAAATAAATTTTATCGTAAAATATAATAATTTTTAAAATAAATAAATTATGTGTGTATGATGTATGTGCATTGGAAATATATATTTAATTTTAAAAAGCATTTTAAAAAAATGTATAAGATTTTTCTTTTCAATATAGAGTAGAAAGAAAAATTCTCTTTTATTTATGTGATTAGGGTTAGTGTTTGGTATTGGACTTGTTTTGAGTATTTTTAGTTCTTACTTAGTACTCCTACCATGTTAATTCACACATCTCTTTAAATTTATCATTTTGATTAATTTTTTAATTAATTTAATTAAGTTAATGACAATTGAGTTTAATAAAATTATTTAACTTAGTTTACTCTAATAATAAAGAATATAAAAAGAGAGAGAATTTCAGTTTATTAAATTAAAATCTTTAAAATACAAAAATATAGTTATTGTCTATATTCATTAGGTTTTTTTTTACTAATCTCTCACAACACATGTGTATAAATTTAAATTAATTATATTTTTGTAAATAATAGAATGAATGAATGCACTTTCACCTCATCCTCGAGTAGTCGAGCGGTTGGCTTAACGCCTTATCAATTGATTCTCAAATTCAACAAATACTCAAAAGAAATCAAACTCTTTTCAAGTCAAAACTAATCCAACGTTTTAACAAATAATATGATGAGTGGATGCACTCCCACCACATTCTCGAGTAACTAATATATCGGTTTAATACCTTATCAATTAATTATTCAAATCAAGTCACTAAAATCTATGACAACTCATTAATTATTTCTTTTTCATCAATCAAACTCTTTCGCTCCGTGCGACAACAAATCACTCTCGCCCTTGTGCGATTAACTCAAATTCAAATACACTTTCAAAAGCTAACATCAACCAAACACATTCGGACTATGTAGAACTTTGATTTTTCTCATCTCTTGATGACAGGTACATAGACACACGGTTGCGAAACCAAGGCGAGTCCCCTAACCTAAAATTAACATTTTTCCTTTTTACTCTTCTTTGTAATTAAATCATTTTCTTTGTATATAAATATTTAAAAGCTGGATAAGAAAGAAACAAGTAAACACGCCATACCCCTAAGATTAAAGAAGGTTCCCCTTGAGTATAAGGGAGGTGAGGGGTGTTTAACCTCTTCCCCTCGCTTAATTGACTCCTGAACCTTCATCTTGGTCACAACGACCGTCTTATTCATACCTTTAGGGTTTTCCCGTTATCTATTATGTCCTTAGGACAAATAAATAATGATGACGATTTCATTAAATTTTTCAACCGCGACAATTTCCAAATCAATTTATCATCCACTTGCTGATTGACAAAGACACTAGCAGTAAGATGTGGTAATATAGGACAAAGGCTAATTAACCCTTAAGGAAGGATAATTTTTTCATCATGAATAATATCTTTCAAAGTTGATTATAAATGCATAAGGTTTTCTTTAGGAATTTGAATTAAATCATTCAAAGCTTGACCATATCAGTTATCTTTCCAAATATTAATGTACTTTTCATTACCAACCATCCATATTGAATTGGTCTTTACTACTTGGCAATTTTTTCTCCCTGTCTAGATAGATGAGAAAAAATGGCACTTCACCTGCCGGCCTCTCAAAGACTCTTGCCCTCAATATTTTGGCCAAGTCCTCCAGATCAGCTAGAACACTCCAACATTGCTTCAAATCAGACTCCTCATTAAGGACCCTCAAATACCTAATACCAAAGCCACAATCCTTCACATCTTTACAACAATGCTTCCAAGTCACTATCACTATTTTCCTTTTGTTAACGTCCACACTCCATATGAAGTTCCTACACCAATATTCCATCATCTTAATGATACTAACAACCCAAGAATAAACCATTATGGAATAAATCATCATGCTTTACCTTCTTGGCAATTAAAGTAAAAGAGAAGAGGATAATAATCTTATTTGTTTCTAACAAGGGTGAAGCAAGAAGTTTTCATTCAAGCATCAATCCACTTATGATTACAAATAACCTTATCTATTCTCTTTTGAGTGTGACTAGTTCCACTCCTACCATTAGCCTAGGTAAATATATCAAGAACTCCAATTCTTTTGTCACCTTCTTGAAGTTTGTTTTAGGGACTTCCTCATCGTTTATGTCTTGCATAGCATCAATGAAACTTAAGTCCTCTTCTGAAATCTCTGCACCATCGCCTTAATGAAATTCAGCTCATGTTTCTTGTCATTATAATTAAAGGATCTGCTTCCGTCTGTGTCTGATCATCTATTATAGAATCAACTTCCTTGTCTGTCTCAATGCGTTTTGTTTCTTCTAATCCATTTTAATCCATGGCCTCTCTGTTTGAATTTGCGTTGAGGTTAATATTTTCCATACCTTTCACCTTATTGTGAACTTTCTCACATAAACCTTCTTGCTGGTCTTTCTTTGATATCCAAAGCATTCATCTACCTCAATTTCCTCCACTTTGCTTTTACAGTTGTTTAAATTATAACCAATAATATTACAGTTGGTGCAAAATTCTCGAAGGTTCTCGTACTCCAACTTCACAAAAATGAGAAAACTTTTCTTTTTGTTGGTGGACAAGGTTGATAAATGAAAGAAAGATAATAGAAAATATATTTACTGCAATGACGGCTATAAAGCTTACAAAAAGGAATGATACAATGATTACTATTACTATTAAATTGTAATTCATAGTGTTGAAAAATTTTGTTTTATTTTAGATTTAAATAGATTTGATTTAAGTCTAGAATAGATTATATTTGATTTAGTAACAAAATAGATATTTTGGGCTTTGGGTGGAAGCTCAGTTATAAATAGAGAAAGTAACCCTTATTTTTTGTAAGCAAGTCAATCAAGTCATTCACAGCATTTTGCAGTTGCAAAGTGAATAGTAAAGTTTTCACAGTTTGTGAGCAGAGAGAAACTCTACAGAAATTATTTGTCTTGTCTTCTTTTCTTTGTTTGTCTCATAATTAAATTGTCATTGTGGTAGAAATTCATCATAGAATTTGGTGGATTTTCAACATATGGTATCAAGAGCTTTGTTTTGATTTAAGGGAAGTATCAATCAAGAACGATTGAAGAATTCACGATGACAAGTTATGGAAATACAAATTATCCAGCAACGCTACCAATTCTAAAAGTTGACAACTATGAGAATTGGTGCAAACAGATGAAAGTCTTATTCAGGTGTCAAGGTCTTTGGGACCTTGTAAAAGATGGAGTCGAAGCGCTTGGAGAAAACGCTTCAGAAGAAGAAAAGAAGAAATACACAGAATCTGAGAAGCTGAGTTATAAAGCATTATTTATACTTCATCAATGTGTCAGTCCAGACAATTTCGAAAAAATTAGTGATTCAGAATCTGCAAAAGAAGCTTGGGAAATCCTTGAGAAGTCTTTTGGAGGCGCTGAGAAGGTGAAAGAAGTGAGGTTACAAACTCACAAAAGGACGTATGAACTGCTTCAGATGGAAGACAGTGAAAACATATCTGATTTCTTCACTAGAGTTACAAAACTAGTAAATCAAATCAAAATATATGGAGAAACGTTAACAACAAGAGCTGTTGTTTCGAAGATCTTGAGATCTTTAACTCCTAAGTTCGATCACATAGTGGTGGCGATAGAAGAGAGGAAAGACTTGTCTAAATTGACAAAGGAAGAGCTTCAAGGGACGCTTGAATCTCATGAACAAAGAATGAACGAAAGAGCTGCAGGCAAATCAAAGAGTGATGTGGCCTTGCAGACACATTCAACAAAAGAGACCAAAGGCAAAGGAAAGTGTTTCGACAGAGGTAGAGGTGGCTACAACAAATCAAATGGTAGAGGAAACCAGATCGAAGGAAACGTATCGAATCAAAGAAAACCATACCAAGGAATCCAAAGAGGTGGTGTTACAAATAGAGGAAGAGGTGGTGGTCGGAAACCTGATAAGAGTCACATTCAATGTTACAATTGTCAGAAGTATGGTCACTATTCGAGTGATTGTCCAGAAAAATGAAAGAATCAAGAAAGTGATGCAAAGCTTGCAAAACATGAAGAAGAAGAAGAAGAGATGATGCTGATGGTCACAACAAGAGATGAAGATAGACTCAAGGACCAATGATACTTGGATTCAGGATGTTCATCACATATGTCTGGAAGGAAAGACTGATATGTCAATATAAAGTACTCAATGAAAAATATGGTAAAATTTGCAAATGACAATACCCTAGCAGCTGAAGGTATTGGTGATGTTATGATTATGAGGAAATATGGCAAGAGGTCAGTAATTTCCAATGTATTGTACATACCAGGTGTGATACGGTGGGAGAACTGACTTGAGGTTTGCGTTTGTATTCGCAAATGTTGCGGTTAGCAAGAGTCGCCACCGACTTTTTATTTTACCCTAAGGAAAGGTTAAAAAGCACAGCAAAAACCTTTTGAGATGTTTTCTTGGGTTCGGGGAGTAGATTATAGAAAGGGAAGGTATTAGCACCCTTTCTATCCATGGTTATCCATGGGCTCTTAGTTACTTGTTTAGATCACTTGCCTTTTGTTTTCAATTGTTTTAAATGGTGCTTGAGTGTGTGGGTTTGAAAATGTTTTGAAAAGAGGCCAATGTGGTGGCAACCTTTGTAATGATCCATGTTGGGATGCATACAAAGGTGTATGTCTTTTGAAAAAGTTTTCATTTGTTTTTTGAAAGTTTTGTTTTGAAAGTGTTGTGATGTGTGATTTTGAAATTAGGCAAGTGTTTTTGTTTTGCAAGTTGATTCAAGTAACTAAGAGGTTATCTACTCCTAAATTTCTCAAAAGACTATTGCTATGCTTTAACCCTTTTAACAAGTTTGCTCCACCATTGTATTTGGTGGGCAACCTTGTGTTAGGATGTGAAAGGGACAGGCGCGGGTCATCGTTTTAGACCATAATTGCAACGGCGTTAAATGTCTTTGAGCAATCTCTCTAAGGGACTTGATCATTTGTTTTTGTTTGTTTTTGAAAAGTTTTATCGAGGGACTATGATCATTCAAATTGTTTGCTTTGCCCAAAGAAGTTTAACATGCAATATGGCCCATTTATTTGAAGGCAACAAGTGGAATACCCTAGGGGGTGCAAGTGTGATTTGTGTGTCCATTTTCATGCTTGTTTATCTTGTATTAGGTCAAACTATTTTTTATCGTTTTTTCGCATACAAACCCTAATTCTAACATGTTATCATTAGAAAGCAATAAAGTGCGAAATTAAAATTACTAAGCTATTACAAAACCAAATATGGGAAGGGGGTACAAATGTTCAAATGGGGATATTGACAAGAATTTAAATCTAAATTATTACATCAATTGGATATTTGCAATTTAAATAATGTATAATTAAATGTAAATTAAATAAATATGTGAAATGCAAAAAGAAAGTTTTTATATGTATGAGAAAATATTATTTATGTAAAAGGAAAAAGAAAATAAAAATGTATTATTCTTTGGGTATTTTGAACTTAGGGTAAAAAACCCTAATTTTTAAAGAAAAAGGTATTATTTAATTTAATACAACTATTTATTTATTATTTATAAAAATAACATAAAATGAAGTGTATTGTGAAAAAAAGGTATTTTTGTATCAAATATTAAATAAAATGAAAAATCAAGTATTTTTATATTTTGTCTTAAATATATTAATAATCACATATATATATATATATATTAAACCCTAAATATGTATTATACAAAAAATAAATATTTATTTAATATTTTAATAAAATAAATAAAAGAGTATTTTTGTGTGAAATATTTTCAGAAAGTAAATAAAAATAAAAATTGTATTTACATTATTTCTTATTTATTCTAATAATGGTATATATATATATTTATGTACAAACAAAGAAAATAAACAAATAAATATGCAATAAATGCAATAAATGATGGAAAAAATATTTTTAATTTTTTAATACCATGAGAAAAAATAAACAAGGTCAGCCAAAAAAGAAAAAGTCAAAAATGTTAAAAAATGAGCAAATGGGCTCAGGGGGGTGTAAACATGAAAATAGGGTGTGAAAAGAAAATAAATCCAGGCCCAGCCCAGACCACTTCTTCTTCAACCTCTGTACAACCTTCTTCAACCAAAAACACGCGTTTTTTATCTCTGGATTCCTGGACTTTCAAGCAAAACTCATAACATGAAAAGTGTAGAGCATTAAGAGACGGTTTCAACCATATAAAGAACATGACCTATCTCTCTAAGATGAGGGAGAATTTCTCTCCCCCTCTTTTCTGACCTAACTTTTCATCAATGTTCAGACATGAAATTCTCTAAGCACACGAAATATAAATGAAATCTAAACATATGAGCATGTTCAGGGCTATGATTGTGACATGTTTTCTTCAAAAATCTAAAGCTAACAATGCCTAACAAGGGAGATAGAACTCCATGAATGTACCTGTTCAGTTGGAATCGAGCTTGGCAATGGAGGATGTTTCAGAGTGAAATGATGACTTGTACAGCTTCCTTGAAGTGTAAGGAAGCTTTTCCAATTCCTACTTTGTCTTGAAACTTCCTGAATCGAGCTAATGAACTCCAACTGCAAAACAGAAAATTAAAAATGGTGAAGTGGCTTGGAGGTGTTACAGGTCTGATTTTAGGACATGGTTAGCTTGTATATATTGTAGGGAAGGTAGAGGAAAAGGTTTGAATCAAAATGCTTGAAGGGATTGGGAGTTTGCACTCAAACTGCAGGGGCACCCCTGTTTGTGCAGTTTTGAGGTGATTTTGAGATGGAGGGTGCTTTAGATGTTCAGGACTCGTGCCAAAGCTTGAATATGGTCTATGGAATATGTTTGATAACTTTGTTCTTCTGTTTCTAAGCTGA